CTAGCCCCATGCCCACAGGCCTCAGAGAGCCCTTCCTTCTTCCAAGCGAGATAGAAGAGAAGACTGCTGATTCCTCTGCCCCTCCTAAGCCCCTTCCTCAAGAAGGCAGGCAACCCCATCCTGAAGCTGCACAGCAGCGCTGCTGAGAGATGCCAAACGCCTGCTCTTCCTCACAGGGTGGGACAGGACCCTAGAGCAGCGTGGCCACATCGGAGCCTTGCTCTTCTGCAAGGGCCCGGCCAGCAAGGACATGTCTGTGCCTCTTTCACCATGCTGAGGAGCACTGTCAAGAAGCATGACCCACCCACCCACTCTTGTCCAGAGTGTGCCAGGAACGGAGGCAGTGAAACTGCACTGAGGACGTCTCCTGCCACTGCTCGCACAGCCCATCTCCAGCAGGCCCGAGGGCTCCAGCCCTCGTGTCTGGGACTGGCTTATGCAGGCCAGGCCAAGCAGGCAGGGCTCGCTTCTCAGCAGTGCTCCAGGAGTGCTGCAGCAGTGTATACGTGACCAAGTGCAGCACTTGCACTGAAAAGGGCAGGCACCAACCAGGCTGTTCCTGGGCTTGGCTCTTTAAAGGAAGGGAATTTGGGGACATGAAGCCTCCCAGGAAGGACTGACAGTCTACAGAACAAGTCACAGCGTCGTAGAGCAGTGGGGCTGGAAGAGAACTGCAGAGGTCACATCTGGCCCAACCCCAGCCTGAGACAGCACCAGCCCTGACAAGCCATCATCTGAACGCTTCACAAAACTACTGTCAACCCTGATACAACACCAGACATCACACCCACGCCTGCCACAGGGAAAGCAGGGGGACCACAGCAGTCAACATCCTGCTTCTAATAAAAGGTTAACATATGCTCAAGAGATCCCAGGTATAGACTGTGCCCCCCACTACAGGAAGGCAACCCCTCCCCTCCCAGTCTGACCAGAGGGTAAAATTCCTTCCTGACCCCACATATGGCACTGGTCCAACTTGGAGCAGCGGGGCAAAACCCTCTAGCCAGGAACCTCTACCCAGGTGACCAAAGGGGAACCAGTCAAGTGTGCGACACCCTCAGGCCAGCAGCAGCAGCAGGAGTGCCTGGAGCTCGGCGCTGTGCCGATGGGCCTCACCTGTAGTCCCGGAACGTGTATGCCGGGGGCTCCTTGACGCACACCATGGCTTCTGCGTTGAGGATGCAGTTATCCACATGCACATCGTGGCTGTTGTCTGTCCGGTCTTCTTGCTTATCTAAGAGAAGACAGCCTGGCTGATCAGATCGGCTACTGTCACGTCAGAGGGCAGGACTCGGATATCCATCTCACTTACCAAGCACTAAGCCAAAGGAAACCTGTGGCAAGACCCCACCCCACAACACCAAGAGCCTATCCCCTTACCAGCGCTCTGACTTGAGGATTTGGGGCTGTCCCCAAGGAGGCTGCAGTGCAGTGGGAGAGCTCTGTCATCCTGTTGCCTGGCCTGACTTACACCTGCAAGGTGTCCTAACCCCTCCCTATTTTTGGTGGGACATCAGTTATTCCCCTACTCATTCTGAGACAGGCACTGAACTGCTCTACTTTACCCAGCACTTCTGAGGGTGTGGACAGACATGGGGCAGAGCCTGGGATGGTGGGCCAAGGCAGGGAACAAGAAATTCAAGCATCTGCCAATACTTCAGGAAGCCACTGCCCCTTCTCAGGGGTAAAAGGCTTCTCTGAGTGCTGAAAACCTAACTCCCTTCCCAACATGTCCCAGAAGGGCAACAAGCTCCACCTTGCTGTGTCCCACCGCTCTTGCTCCAGTTGCACCATTGTGCGGTGCAGTCGCTTGCTGCCAGCACAAAAGTCTGCAGCCCAAGGAGAGCATGGAGTTGAACTGCAGCTGCTGAGGCATCAGGCATCACATCCTGCACAAATGGGGAGAGGTTCCCTTGGGCACACAGAGCCCAGGTCTTCTCCAGGTTGAAGTTCTCAGAGCACATCTTTACCCTGAATTACAATTATGTAGCAGTAACCTCGTGTCTCGCTGCAAAGTCTATTCCCTGCTTCTGGGAGCCAAGTTCTCTGACTTTAGCAACAGTCTGCCTAGTTTCCTCCTCCCTTTATCCCTGCAAAGGCAGCGTGGCTCAGAGGGAGAGTGCTGGACCCCGTTCCCTCCTGTGCCGTGACTGAATTGTTCACCAAGTTCCACGCAGTTGCCCCAGTGCAAACACCCGGGGCTGTACAGGCTGTCTGTGTGCAGGACACTCACGGACGGAAGTGACTCATGGACAGAGAGAACCAGCGGGACCCTTGGATCAGGTGGGACTTTCAGGGCTTGCTGCTGGAGGACCAAGGAGCCAAGTATCTAGCTTGTTTGCAGCTGCATGATCTGGAGGGGAGGATGGCGGGGAGCAAGAGGGAATCCCAAGAACTCATGCATGCAGCTCACTGGACTGAGCAGCAACAACATGCTGAGGGCAGTGCTTGGCCTGTGTCATGAGGGAGGTGAGGCTAGAGGGTCCCAGTGGTCCCTTCTAGATGGTGACCATCTGAAACTGTGGGCACTGCTGCCCTTGAAATTCAAACCCAGGTAGTCAGGATGCCTAGCTCTTTCACATGCTCATGGACACTCACTGCCCCAGGAGGTACTGGTGGAACCCATCTTTACTTGGTATCTGGGAGCAGGGAAGATCCCCAAGATGGGGAGTGTCCAGAAGGGACAAGATGATCAAACACACAGTCTTGGTTCAGATACTGGCTGGATCGCTGTTCTAAGTCTGGGATGAGGGAAGGATTCCAGGGAAGCCAAGAAAGGGTCCTGCGAGATGCAGCTCAAGATCATCCCCAAATAACAGGCAGGCATATGCCATCTAAATCTCCAGTAATTTCAGGGAGCCCTGCAGGTAAGTGTCCTCTGAAGCCCCCATGCTTTGGGGCAGGTGTGTTAATAAGCACAGGGCTGAGCCACACATGGACCTCTGATCTCCAGGGAGGGGTAAGAAGGAGCCCTTAGCATCTGTCCCAGAGCCTGAAGGCCACTGAGGGCAGCAACACCAGTGAAAACCCAGGAAAGGGAAAGCACAAGGCCTGGGTCCCACTGAGGCTGGGTCAGGCCCTGCCACCTGCATTCACCTTCGATGGCTGTGCGACACACCAGGTGCGAATAAGAGAAGTAGAGCGGTGTGTCCAGGCGGAAGTAGGACTCCATCAGGCGCCGCACCTTCTCCGTCACGTTGTAGTAGAGCCAGGCACTCTGCACAGGGACTTTGTGCTCCTGGCCCAGCTGCGGGAGACAGACAGCATGTTCATGAGGGCTGCAGCTGCCGGGCAGCCAGGCTTCTCCCCTGGCTGTTACCCTGAGCTGTGCCTCCAGCTGCTCTATGGGAATGGCAGTGTTCAAGAGATTGTGCCTTCCGCCCAAGGCTGGGATACGAAGACTGGGGCCCACCCCCTCGGCCCTCTCTAGCTGGCACAGGGGCAGTTCTTTGCATTCACTCAGGGGTTACTCTACAGTTTGGCCATTCTCTGAATCAACTGTCATGGGTAGCCAGTGCTGTTCATGTCTCCAGGCAAGAACAGATGGGTGTGAGGACTGCCAAGACCTCCTTCCTCAATGGCCCAAACCCCAGCCCCACCCAGCTCTAGTCCCACTCTTCTGCCCACTTGCACCTGGGGTTCACCCCTTCCCCAAATCTGCCACAACACCAGTCCTACCCTGAGGGCTTTATAGACTGTCACGCCATAGAAGGTCTCGCTGGGAGTGTGAGGGGATGTTTTCCCACGATAGCCATCCCCAGCAGAGGCAGCCGCCTGCAAAACCCAGAGTCAGAGGTGAGACATCTGTGCCGCTGCCTGCCCAAGAGAAGGGACTGGGCAGACCCTGGTGAGAGCGAGGAGACCAAGCAGAGCATTTGGGGACCCCACACAAGCACAGTAGGTAGGAACTCCTCAAAAAAACAATGCCAGGAGTAGACACCAAGATTCATGGTGCCGGGAACCAGCCCTGCTAGAAACTCCAGTCCCAGCTACAAGCATCAGACTCCAAGGTGAGGAATTCAGCCTGGCCCCTCTCCACCCAACACAGGCCCTCAGTGACCTCCATCCTGCCTTCCAAACCAGACCCCGCACCCCTCCCTTCCCAGTACAGGCGGGACACGCAACAGCTACATTCGTTGTCTTGCAAGTCAGACAACGGGATGTCCCTTGTATGCAGCAGTGGGTGGGCTGGAGAGAAGGGGTGTCTGCACTGCCAGGCGGGGAGGGGGGCTAGAAGGGGGTTGGGTTGGGCTGGGAGACAAAGGACTCTGTTTCACATCTTAAGAATGACAGTGGATTGACTGTCTGTCTCTCTAAAGAGTTTGCTCAGGTATTTTTAAGTGTCACTCCTCCTTCATCTCCCTCTCCCAGCTACACCCAGAGTCAATCCTTCCCTCCTTCCTGCCTGGCTTTGGTGTCTACCTGGACCCACACACCTCAGTTTCTCAGGATTTCCCTACCCAGGCTCTCCGTGTCTCCCAGCCAGCCTGTTCCTCCCCAGCCCTGTTTCCTGGGTGCTGCGGACAGCAACTAGCCACTCACATTGGTGAGCCTCTGCAGTTCCCGACACTCCTCATCAGAAATAACTCCATCCACCACCACGCGCTGAGAGCCATTCAACATCCTGGAGTTCATGGTGATGCTGACCCCATCATACAGCAGTGGGCCACCTGCAGAGCCAATGCACAGGTCAGGGGAGCACCCGGCGGGGTCAGTGGGACCAAGGGCAGAAGAGGGTGTGTTGGCCCCTCCTCACCCACTGCCCTCTGGCTCCTCTCACCTTCCCGAATTAACTTGTTCATGTCCACAGACTCTTTGGTCTTCTCCTCCACCAGCGTCTCTATCTCCTTCATCAAGTTGCCAATCTCTTCAGAGATTCGTGCTGCTGTCTCACGCTCTACCCTGCAAACAGAGAGGCCTTCAGGAGCAGCCCCAGGGCTCCACCGCCCCAACCTGCCTTGGAGGCGGGGGCCAGATTGAAAGACCTGCAGGAGACTGTGGGGGGCAACTTTGAAGTCTCCATAGAGGGGGCAGTGACACACAGTAGGGCTGCGCGAAATTTCAGCACCAGTCTTGTTTCGACACTGTTTAGACTTGTTTTGAGGTTGAAACAGCAAAATCGAAACAAAACAGATATGGTTGAAACAGCCTCGAAACGAAACAAGGCAAGTCAAAACGTTTCGCCGTTTCGTCCATAGGCTATAATGGGAAAGGTCAAAACAGTCTATAACTTTGTCATTTCTGGACCGATTTGGATAAAACTTTCAGAAATAGTAGCCCCTTCTGAGGGCATAAAACGTGCCAAGTCTCAAGAAGATAGGTGCAGGGAGTTTGGAGAAACGGCACCCCAAAACCTTGAGAGCCAAATTTGTGTCATGTGTTTGTGTTAAGGCACAGCAGGGTCAAAACTACAGGAAAGCTAGTGCCTGGCGAGGCCACAAAGCCTTCCACATTTGAAGGAGATCAGTGCAGGGGGTTCAGAGAAACTGCACCCCAAAATCCTGAAAGCAAACCTCACGTCACATGTATGTGTTAAGCCACAGCAGGGTCAAAACTGTAGGCATGCTAGCCCCTGCTGAGGCCACGAAGCCTGCCACGTTTCAAGGAGATAAGTACGGGGTTTGGGGGAAACAGCCCCTCAAGCTGCGGACAAGCAAAACTGGTGCCATGGGTGACACTGCGTGTGTTAATGTGCAGCGGGGTGACAGCTGCAGGGATGGTGGCTCCTGCTGTGGCCACAAAGCCTGCCAGCTGTTGAGGAGATCGGTGCAGGGGGGGTTCTGGGGCCTGCACCCCTAACTGCTCACAGACAAAACTCGTGACACGGGTGCTTGTGCAACTGACTGTGTCCGTCTTGGGGCAGTTGATTCGTAGTACCTAGGGTCAGGAGGGACCTGAACAGATCATTTAGCCTGACCCCCTGCCACAGGCAGGG